AGCTTGAAAGCTATTTCAATGAGATAAAGAGGAGCATACTTTCGCACTACAGACCGTTTAGTAGTACNCGTGAGTGGTCCTGAGTACAGCTGGCGACTAGCAAAACGAGAATAACAGATTCGATTTAGATTTGTTAAACACGAAAATCTATTCTGAAACACTGGAATCTACGTATTTTGTATCATAAAGCGTTGGATTTAAAAAGTATCACCCCCAAGATAAATATGTGAATTGTAAATCCGGGCGGTTATCTCAAGTAAAGCTTTTTCCAGCGTTACAAGGTAGTCCATAACGAACAAATATTGGAGCAGATATAGAAATAGGTTTCGGGTGTCAGTTGAACGTTACATGTATCATAATGTGATTTGCGTTTGTCTCTCCAAGCCGTTCACGAGGCCGTTTTATCATTTAACCATCACTGGCCTGGGAGTAGTGAAATGGGACAGACGAAATTGATTTGGACTGACCATTCTTCAAACGTCATTTTTATGCAAAATTCCCTGTGAATACAGTCGACTAATAGAGCTCGTCCGTATTGCATATCCACTGTCGAGTTCGGGCTTTGAAATGTGGATCCATTGCATGAAGGGATCGTGTTACCACCGTGTCAACTAGCTAACGCATCATCTTTAGTGATAATTATTTCATCAAATCTTACAGCACAAAGGAAGACATTATAGTATCTATAAATTCCAATCAAAAGCCCATCACCAAATCACGACTTTTGAACTAATCTTCTAAGTTGGGCTTTTGGTTCACATCCACCTCACTTGTAAGGAAACTGGAACAACCATGAGCTGGAGATTCTGGCCAAGCCGGGTTTGAGTGAGTTGACACAGTGGTAACAAGCCTTTCATGTGATGGGTCTGAAGTTCAAAACCCGTACTCCACGGGAAATATGCACTACTGATGAGCTCTAATGAGAGCGAAACTCGAGTACAGTGTTTCTGAAATGTGGGGTTGGTGGGATGAAATCAAGATTGAGCCCTAGAATGAAGTCTGAGGAATAGTCACTCCAAATTAATTTAATTAGTGAAATGACCGCAGTACTAACTAGCCGTACTGACTTGAAAAATCAGAACCGACCGAATGCAAATGTCAGATAGGTAAATAAACGCTCGTATCATCGATTCAAATGGCCAGAATTTGGCCGGGTTTGCAGAGAAGCTGTTTAAATTTTATTTCAAATGTGTATTGGTTTTACAATATGCACATAAAAGCAGTGCTTTGTACCAGACACGTTCTGGAAGCTCATTGGGAAAGGCTCATCCTGACCACACGGGCCCAATCTACGGTTGGTGGACGCACATAGCAAGTGGTTGGGGCTTATTCTATAAATCTTCACCAAACTAAGTCAAATTCTCAACACTATCTGCTTTATTCGATCGTCTTGCATTGTCTGTGAGTGACAATAAATGTCGGTTTACTTCGACCATTCTTGCAGTCTTCTGTACCTGTCTGGTATCAACCGTATAAAATTATAGATGTTTCAGTGACCAACTGAATAAGTGAACGATGCACGAAAAACTAGAATAAATTGTAAATAAGTATCAGAACCTTTCTAAACAACTTGGTATCGCTGTACTGGAAATCCCTACTTTTAGTGATCAACAGAAACTCAGACTTCAAACAACTTTTGTCGTAATCCGTCTGACAGCGATCAACAGATGTGCGAATAACAAAATATTTTAACCGGCATTCCTTGACTCGACAGTGTCTCATACATCTGGTTCTAAAGGTTTTAAAATTTTTGTTGGTTTACTAATAGGAGGTAAACTATGAGGTGCTTTCTAGTCTAATTTATTCAGTGTGGGTATCGGCACACCAATCAGCTGGGGAACGGAGAATGTGCCATAATGAGACTCAATCCACCATCGAATTCGTTCAACCTGCAAAGAGGGATCAGGAACACCAGCTCCTCTGTTGAAGGAGGAGTGTGAACAGACAAGCGGTGCTTGAGAAAAACAATTCCGATTTACTATTGATTCTAGCGAACGTTTTTACTTCAATTAAGCACATTCTCAAAAGAAAAGGTATCAGCAAGTTGTTTTTTAACACATTAGGACCACATGATGCTACGAGTGTTTCGGAAAATCGATGCGCCAAGTATTGTTTTATTGTGAATGTTAATGTAATAACACAGAGATGTCGGTAGAGAATTATATTTGCCGACGTTTCGGCCACCGTGGGTAACTCTCAAGGCAGGTTTACAATCAAACCCACGGTAACCGAAACGTCTGCGAATATAATTCTCTACCGACATCGCCGTGTTATTAACATTAAAACATTCACAAGTTGCTTTTTGTTCTGATTGCAAACCGCTATGCAGAAACTTCAAAAATCCTGTAATATTCTTAAAAACTCAGGATAACTAAAGGTGGGTAGACAGAAAAAGGGTCAACTGAATTTACTCGGTCTGGTACTGGTCAGAGGTGCAAGTTCATGACCGCTTCTATCAATGTTTACATAAGATTAATGTGAACGTTCTATGGCCTTCAATATGCATACTTTTGACTTCCGAAATAAAATTTTTTACTTCTGCTTTGGGAGTTTACCATTATATTCTGAAATACCTTCTCAAATTTATCTATTTGTTCCCGAGGTAGACCCAAGAGTCAAACAAGATTCTAGGATTGTGTTTTCATTCCAGATGAAACCAAGTGATCTTGAGCATCCTTTTATCTCATCGCTCGGATGGATCAATCAGATACAATTTCCACCAGAAACAAACGTGGAACGAACAACTGTTATAGCTGGGGATCAATAAAATGCAGGAGCAGATTAGCTTGCTCTGTTTTGAAAGTAGAGATCACCTTAGGTTCAACGGTTTTCAAACACGGATAATGGATGAAAGTTATATATACTTTCACAGTTGATGTATATGTTAAACGATGGATACACTGACTGATTCATGGGAGTATGGAAACAGCCTATACAGAACATAATTTTCCTCTGTGGTGAAGGGAGCAATTCCCATGTGGGTTCCAGTTCTAGGTGACACTAGCGGATAAAAATACGTTCAGAGTTGACCTTCAAAGAGTGTATCACAGCTTTTAATTGCTTTTTATTTGATATTCTTTACTAGTAATGGCATCATACGTGAAATATACCAGTGGATAAGATCTCCTTTAGCATCAATCAATTCCGTTGTTCCTGTAGCAAAAACGGCATAGATTGAGTCAGTGGACGTTTGGTCTATGGTAATCCCCAGCGCTGTCTGAAAGGATTTGTCCACAATTTCAATAATAACGAAGAATCATGAATTATCACTCAATTAGCTGAGATTAGTCACTAGGTTAATCTGATGAAATTATTCCGACGCATGTACACAATCAGAAGGTTGTAATCGATATATGCCATAGATCACGTGCATTCTGCTTCAATCTAGGTGAACTACTTTATGCCCTGGGTTAGTTTTTTAGAGTTCTCGGAATCTGCTGGCCATGCCTCGTTGCCGACACTTTGTAACAAGCATTTATTTAAAAACAGGTCACATATTTTGTATTAATGAAAAGTCTCGGTAGCACTGTAAAGCTTATATCACCTTTTTGGTATTATCAACAGTGCATACCTACCGAAGGGTGGTGGTGGCGCAGAGAGGTTAGTCGCTGTCACCGGCGTGCTCTGGACCCTGTGTTCCGAGGTTCGAGCCCCGCCACCACCACCCGACTTTGGTGGTGGGCAGCTCTGCTGTCGACCGGTTCAATACCCCGCCTAAGCTATCGGGGCCTTATGTGGTTCGCCACTCCAAGTCACGGTGCTCAGGTTACCGGTTTCCACCACTGAACAGTAGGTCCTCGTGACTATGGGGTTTATCCCATCTGCTGTTCATCACACTTAGGTGTGCACTGAAAGAAGGTATCGGAGTTGGTTACGAGGAGGTTATGGTTTCAACGAACTAGGAGTATTGTTCCAAATGTACCAATTTCTGTCCATCTTGAACATTCTCACTAACATCACGAAGGTTGTCAGCTTGATAGTGGTTGGCTAAGTTTACTTCGCTGTATGATGATGATGTTGATGCTATCCGGGGTGGCTCTTAGCAGCTATAGGTTAGCATAACACGATATAGTGCCAAGTCATATGCTTTGTGTTTTTGTTAGCATATATTGCCTTGTTGACCCTGCACGTTCTTCTTTATCTTGATGGGATTACGAACCTAGCAGTCCCTATTGTGCTCCCACTTAGGCAAGATTTGCTCTCAGCTTCACTTATGGATGATTATAAACATGCTGTCAATTTGCTCCATTGTTGTGGAATCACTGGAAATTTATTAAATGAGTCTGACAAGTATGAAGTAGGGTATAATAGTAGAGTTCTCCCAAAGATTTTCAGTGACTCGACATTAGGAATGTACTTTGGTAAGCAACCGAAATCCCCGAAACTGCCTCACACATATTGTTTTTCTGAATACGTAACTGTTGTTTATTACCTTAAACGCAAATATAAACCCACCCTGTTATTTTCAGTTTGATTTCTATGATTGCATTGTTAGTAGTTAGTTAATCAGCTGTAAAAACGAATCCGTTTCCCGTTTATCTTTCAATTCATTGGTTTCTCACGAAGAACTTTGTTAGCCATCACTAAACACTCCAGAAATATTGCTTGGTCAACGACCGGTGAAACTCTATATGGATTAGGGGAGAGTAATTTTAGAATTTCTGCGAATCGCGGTTGGAACAGAACATAACTCAAAGAAAAAGCACATTAGACTAACCATCACAAGCAGGTAAATCGTAGTTGAGTGTGGTCCTCAGGAGTTCTACTACCAGCTTGTGGGAGCGTGATCTGAAAGTGTAATAACTAGGTATAGCTGCGTGTGAATCCATGAGCAAACTATTTTACTTGTACCCACTGATTACACGTGATAAACTGGTTTATTTGGACCAGTCAGCTGTGTGGGGTTCTGCGCGAGCTGATAACAGGCCGCTTGATCACACGTAGCAGACACACATACAAGTTTGCTATCAAACAACGAAATACCATTTATACCTTCACCAATGGAAAATGATATTGCAATTGGAATTGATTTGGGCACAACCTATTCGTGTGTCGCGGCGATTGTGGACTCGGAGGCTGTGGTGATTGGAAATGATGTTGATGAGAGAACAACTCGCAGTGTGGTGCACTTTTCCACCCATGGCACTATCGTCGGAGCTTTCGCAGACGCCCAATATTTGCTTGACACCGGAACCACCATATATAATTCAAAACGCCTTTTGGGTCGAAGGTTCTGTGAAGTTAATAACGCACTAAAATGGGGATTCGCGATAGTGGATTGCGACGGTGAGGTCGGGATTGAAACAACCGTGAACCCACGTATGTCCCCGGTACAAGTGGCGGAAGAACTACTGAAGTATTTGAGGCAATGTGCTCAGAATTATTTACAACAAGACGTTACACGTGCAGTAATAACTGTTCCAGCGCGATTTAACCATGTTCAACGACAAGCCACGATGGATGCGGCAAAAAATGCCGGTTTTAAAGAAGTAATGCTCCTCAACGAACCAACTGCTGTGGCGCTGGCGTTTCAATATGACGTAACAGATGACAATGGTCAAAACTATGTGGTTGTTTATGATTTCGGAGGCGGTACTTTTGATGTGTCGGTCCTTCAAATAACTGGTCAAACATTCAGGGCTCTCGCTACTCACGGTGATGCGCAACTCGGTGGAACTGATATTGATGAGCTTCTCGTCAACTACTGTGTGGACACGTGGAAGGAATCCTATCCAGATCTGCAGCTGAAAAAGGATGAATTCCAGAATTTACTTCATTTATGCGAATTAGCCAAAAAGGAACTGACATATATCGATTGTAAGTGTATAGAGCTCCAAGTGGATAATTTAACTGAACCACTCGTAATCACTTTGGATCAGTTTCAACTGTTACGCATCGTAGAACCCTTAATTCAAAGAACTGTCGCATTAACGAACGATGCTGTTCGTGAGGCTGGCTTGTCCAATTCCCAAATTGATCACGTGATTGTTGTTGGAGGTTCATCTCGCATTCCACGTGTGAGAAATTTATTGTCCGAACATTTTGACGCGAATCGGCTTACTTGTGAATGGTATGAAGACGAAGCCGTCGCAATCGGTGCTGCTCGTCTAGCCCATCATTGGAACCAAAGAAATGATATTATTGATTTTGTGATTCAAGAGTATGTAACCTCCTCTTTAGGCTTATGTTACAAGAATGAAAAAATGTATGTCATGATTCCTAAAGGTTCGCAACTGCCACAGGAGAAAGTGCTAAAAATAACCACGGTGAAGGATAACCAAACAAAAGTGGTATTTTGGGTGTTTGAAGGTGACACGACCGAGTTAAGGAAGAACACGTGTTTGGGTCACTTAGTGATGACAAATCTCAAGCCGGCTCCAGCGGGAGCATTGAAATTAGTTATCCGTTTTGTCCTCAATCCCAATTCTATGCTGATTGTTTCGGCCTACGATGAGCAGACTGGGGAAAAACAAGAAGCTGCTTTTCGATGCCGGTCTGAATTTCCCTCGAGAAGAGAAGACAACATGGTTGATGTTACAGGCAATGACGACACATTTGAGGTTAGTTAATCCACGGAACAAGACTGATAACTTCTGTTAAGTCTTCATGGAGAGACACGCACATGTTGCGAAGATCTACCCAAAACTGGATCTGACTAATGGAAGAGCTATGCTCCATCGAGATAAACTGCTGAACAATTAATACACGGATGCAGATAATCCAATCAGACTGAGCCTTTGTGTATGTTTCAAGTTCAGTATCGGCTGTATAAAAAGAGATGAAGTAGGTGCATTGTATTGAAAGCTGTCTTCTATTTTTTTTTTCAAAATACACACTGCATTTTCCTTCTACTGTGAGTCTCACGTTTAGCGTCATTTATTTGCATTACAAGAGATATTCGGGAAAAAACAGCCCGTCAGTTCAATCTATGCACAATCTAAACAACCTGCGTGTGGTTTCATTTGTTCCGTGTAATTCGACCTTGGTTCAAGATAGAGACACTTAATTGAATGATTGGGACGGGAGGGGGAAAAGAGAAGTAAGTTTTGGTTTATTCAGATCCTTGCTTTTCAATGGATGCCATTCGTGCTTTGTAAAGAAGTTCTTCAAACAGTACAAATATTTCAGTTAGACAAATTTTAATAAATCAGTAATGATTGGCTGCAGCATGAGTTGCCGTTAATAGGGAATAGGTACCCTATTCGAATATCTAACTAAGCAAAAGGAAGGCGGGATACTAGACTATATGTCTTCTGTTTTGGACCTCAAATTTCAGATCGATGCCTTGTCTAAGAATTAGGATCGGTATCAAGTTTTGGAACCCTTCGTGTTTCAGTAAAATGGAGCACGAAAAGCGCTAAATAAAAGACATTGCTTAGAAAATGTTTGGGTTCATCAACCCACTTCTTTCATATTTGCGAATCATGAAACATTAAGTTACGTGGATCGATTGGATGTGATGTCACTTTAGAATAAATCACATGAGTTGATTTGGGGCATAACACAAGCACATTTTTATGTACTTCGCGAAACAAACATTTTCTCAATGACAAATTGGTTGGTATTGCCGAGTGAAGCCTTTAAGTTAATGTGTGATGGAGTAAGCTGACGAAATATGTGTAACATGTAAAAGTGCTTGTTCTCGTGATGCAATGAATTTCTTTTCAAACTGGCGATCAGGATGCTGTCAAACCTTCTCATGTGGCATGATAACAAAATGCGTAGCGAAATATCACTCGATATTTAGTGCTGAACATCTTTACTGTTAGGGTAATTGAAATCCCCTAAAATGCTCTTTGGCCTGGATGCTAGTTATAACCAACCTGAAGCTCAAAGATCAAGCATTTACTTACAGCCAGCTTAGCGTCACATTTTCAGTGCACTGTAAACGTGTTATCCACTGCTTTGCGTCCCAGTTTTTGAGAATCTTGGCCTGACATTTCTTTGTAGATGGTTTAAAGCCACTTTTTGGGCTGTCAATTACCGGTAGATTTCCCGTAATACTGGTCTGGAGACTATGAATGCAGAAGACCGTACGACCGTTATCATTAGTGACGGATTTGACCAATTCAGTTAGTTTACGTTTTGGAACAAGTATTTTCTCAAACAGAAGTGTCATAAACAACCGTGGTTCTTATGTTTGGCTGGTTAATGGTGTACAATTGACCTATTTAAGGTGAATCTGAGTTACAAGATACTCTCTGTCTTCCTGGCAGACGAGAATCTGGTATAGCACTGAGATTGTGTAACTTAGACTTAGAAATGTTGATATCAGTGCCAAACGTTTTAAACCTGCTTGAGTTTGGCTATTTGATCAGTTGAACCATCGTCTTTAGAGCTGAAGGAATTCTTAGTTGTTCAGTTAGTAGATGCAAACTACAAATCATCGACTGATGTAACCATTTTCACATGTTGAAGAATTTTCACGGAAGTATCATTATTTACTGAGATTCGCAGTCTTTTAAGTGTTAGTGGAGTTGGTAGGTTTGAGACGGTGTCAGAATATTTTCCCAGACTCATTGAATCTCAAGAGCAGTGGTCCTTTGAGCCATCTAAAGAGGAGCGGTTTCCTAAACAGGACCGATAGAAATGATCTTTTTTCTGATTATATATATATATATATGTGACAGTTACAAACCACATTCCACTTTGGCTGAAGAATTGTGCCAATTGACAGATTGTAAGGACACTATATTTCAATCTCTGAATAAGATGAACGAAAAGTATAAAGTAGTACTATTTAAGGGGGGCAGGTTAGCTCTTATTTGAGCAGTAAATGCAACTCACAGACATGGTTACTGTACAGTACTCAAAAACAAACAGCGACTCGTGTGATCTACTACGCTTGCGCTGTGCTTGGGCACTCCCGGGTTTGGTTCTGAATGGGATCAGTATCTTGTCACTTCTAATGACGCTCAGAAAGGTGTTAATTAATATTTTCTAATCCTCATTTTCTTTATATCGGGAGACAGAATGATTAATCGAACCCAGTACTGTGAAAATCGTTTTGAGCACTGAATTATGGAAATGTAAGTGACGATTAAGCCTTATTATTAACATATATTATCCAAGAAAGTTAGAATGCTTCACTGGCGGATATAGACCAACTGATAGTTCCCAATATGTCATTGTGCTAAAATAGTGCAAAAATGTTGACATGGCGTATTTGTACTGCGGTCGGAGTATCGTTGCTTGATAAATTGTATGCACAAAACTGTTACCAAAGAAAACGGAACAATATAAAGATGAAAAGTGAACATAAACGAGTGAACGAATCTCATCATACTCAGTGTTTTGTACGTGCGAACTGCAAGTAGTGGGAATTTGTTTCTCTCCTTAAACACACACACACACACACAACAAACACTTTTGAAACCACAGGGTGGGGGTCAGTTCGCTTCGAACTCGGCAGGTCTTAGACAAGGGACGAAAAAGCAGAAGCATCTGATACAACACCTAAAAAAACAAATATGCTGATACTGAACAAAGCCGTGAGTATATCGCGACAGAAATAAAAAAAGAAAACGGTGACGGAAAACGAAAGATGCACGTGCGTATGTGCAAGCGGGAAGAATGAAAAGTGAACAAAGCGCTGATTAGGTTTTCTGGTTATAAAGCACTTTCATTGGGAGGCGTATAGAGGAAAAACAAAACAAAAACATTAAAAAAAAAACAGTTCAGTTGGAAGCATTCCAACGAGTAAGAAAGGAGGTGTAGAAAAATGAAAGTGGTTTTTGGAATAGTTTACACGTTTGCTCATTTACAGATGCATAAAAACGAACAATCGCAAAATGCGAGTCTGTTCAAACTGCGGTTGTTGCGCAACTCTCGAACGGCATGGCATAAAAACCCGGAGGAAAACAAAAACAAATAAAGCAAAATACCGGTGTGAGTAGGTTTAGGAAATGAATCGAAATAATTGTAACAGTCCCAGAATGGGCTTTTAAAGGATGTTACTTGGGACAATTGCAGAGTGCACATCAAGAGAACTAGCCAACGTAAAGTGCCGTTGATAAGAATAACAGCGCGAGAGAGAGGGGGGGGGGGGAGACAGGAGAAACGAAGACGAGTTTTGGACTGTTTTTGTGTAATCAGAATACGGTCCACCAATAAGTCTTTCCAGATTGTCTACGGAACCTGATGGGTTTACACGGCGACTTCAGCTGGATACGTCACCCACGCGCATATTCGGGGTCCTATTGTTGCAACGCAACACCTTCTTCACCTACCTCAGACGAGGCCTCGTAATAACGCGTTTCTTGCATCCGAGCATAGTTCATCGCCGTGCAGATGACAATTTGCAACTGAAAATCGACAGTGGAATGATGAAGAAAATGAATTAAGCGGATGAGAAATATATTGATAACTTTAAGGAAGCCTTTGTTCCATATGGAGCCTATTTGCTATTTTCCGCCGAATAACCTTAAAAACACTGTAATGCTATTTTAATCAAGTTTTGTGTGAACCACCAGTAATGCATGTACCATCAAATGAACGGGGAGTTGAACCCTTAGCCGAGAAACTGCAAGTCCGACATATTAATCACTTGGGCTCTTCGGACTGGCTCTCAGCAACGTGGTACACACTTGAAACTGTGTGATACAGCATTCATTCACCAATGTTTTTGAAAAGACCGCCTAAAAGTAAGCTGGTAAACAGTATCCATTTTGTTTGAGTGCATACACAACCATCACAGATTTTCTTGGTTCACAGATGTGCACTGGTCTTTCTTCAAGCTTCATTGGAAAAGACCACGCGGTTGTGGACAAGGGATAAGATAAATATATTTATTTGACCCGTCAATGCACTTTTGTGATGTGAATTTTGACGAACAATAAGATGAGAGGATAATTTGATATAAATGGAAACCTGTATGTTTTTAAGGCTGGTTGATATACTTCCCGAATTACCGAACAAAATGAAGTTGTTTGCAAATATTTGAGACAACAAGGTAGCGAAATCGCTCCAGAGTGACTTACATAGCCCAGAATGAGAAGAAATATACCAGATATCCCTATGCAAACGCAGATGAGAATGTTTTGTGTTCGCGCTTCCAGATTATTCCGAGCAACGTAGATTGGTAGTCCCTGAGCATCGTATAAGCCTGAATTTGGATGCAGTAAATGAAATGAAAGTAATGAGAAACTAATTCAGAAACTTGTGCCAAATGAATGAATTGTTATTATAAGGTTGAACAGATGAGGTGATTTACAAAAGACAAAAAGTCTCCATAGGCAGTCATTTTGTTGTCGACCGTGAGTGGAAAAAAGATCTGGATTGTGTAATTCAGCCGAAATCGAGAGTGGCGTTTGTACTTGTTATTAACGTAAAACACAAGGCGCATAACAATGTTCCGCGCAAAGAGATTTCATCAACCGTGAATATCCGAGTCACATATTCTCGGAGTACACGTTTACAAATAAACGAGGTTTTCACCATGCATTTCGTGCATTACTTTATGTTTTTTAAGTTTCTGTTTGGCTTATTTTTCCTTCTAAATGTTTGTGTTGGACTAACATGAAGAATAAACTGAAATTTATCATTTATTAAAGAAAATAAAATAGTGGCATTAGGTAAGTGGTTCGTTCACATAACCCATCTGGTTTTCTGAAACATTTTGAGATGAAACGGGTGCGGTTTATGATTGCAACTTCAAAGTCACAAAGAACTATCTTAAATCTAAGAAAGTTGCTAGGCATTCAGAAAATGAAAGTTATTGACTCCAGAAAGAATGATTCATGGGGAATTACATGCCTTGTTATCTGTGCAGACCTCGGAAAGGTGATCGTGTTCACGATGCTGTTATGATTAATGCGCTTAAAATCAACCATATATACGTAACAGCTACAGGAATAAAACCGGTGGGATAATGTCAGACTATGTGCCGAATCCCATGGTAAAAATGCGCCGTAACAAGTAAAATCAATTTAATCGTTCCCCAGTCCAAGCATCATGCGAACGAACTGGTTGATATATACGTTGTGTTTGAGGGATGAATTAAGTGCATCGTCAACACAGCCTCCATAATCAAGTTGAATTCAGTATGACCATAAGAATGATCAGAACCAGCGTCTGTGTACTTAAACAAATACACGACAGACAAATGGGAACAATGTTGTATATGATATATAATGTGCACAAGTAAATATAACACCAAAGTCAAAAAGCGATTCAGAGTGTTGCTACACGCGAGCGATTCAATGGAATGCGGGGATCAATAAGAAAGAACTGTCCATTTGGATGTAACATTTTGGCAACCTGAACCAAGATAACTAATATCATTGAGGATAAAAGAGTCAAGGAACTTATTGTAATCGTCTCAGGCTTCACACAGACGCACACTGATACAAATGATGGACAAGAATGTCTCGTTGAGGAACAACAGGTTTTCTGTGCCTGTCACTCAACAAAATAATGTTTCAGCTCCAGCCGACCAACGAATCCGTGCTAACGTGTTCGATGAGTGCGAAATAGCGCCGAATGTTGTCTCACTGGGGCGCAAGGGAGTGAGAGATAGCAGAGCTTTTCATTTTCTGATTGTAAATTAAGAATAACAAAAATTGGAAACCGTTGTAAGAAAAACGGAACATTATGTCAACTGCTAGCGAAATTACAACTGGACGTTCTCCATGAACTAAGAAGACTGACTCCAATGAATCTGTGACATTTTGATTTATCAAATACGAAATTAGTTCCACAGAACACATTGAGAACAACAGCGTGGCGAACAAGCTCGTTTTAATTTATTCGTAATCATGCCATTACGCAACGTTAAATATGACTAACAATGAGAATAAATAAGGGATGATAGATTCGAGTCCTAGTGGTTTAGCTCCGGCACCAATCATGCGTGCATGTATGCCTGTGTGAAAATGATCAGTGTCAAAAGTTCAAGTGATTGCACGCGTGTTGGAGTGGGTGAAGTGCGTCAGGGGAGGTTAAGTGCTTGCACAAATTTTCTTCTCGGCGCACAAGGGGTGGGGGGTTGTGAATACGAATACTTACAGCTTCGGCCGTGGTTAAGATTCGGAACTTTACTGCTCTCGATGGCTTACACCAAACCTGCTTATTGTTAGTCATATTTAACGTTATGTAATGACATGATTACGAATAACTGAAAACGAGCTTGTTTGCCATGCTGTTGTTCTCAAATACGAAATGCATTTCAATTCAATACCGGTTTTCCAAATACCGATCACTTCTATTTTGTTGTTGTTTCTCTCAAACTAATATCTGTTCAGTTCATGCAATAACGACTACAGGAACACCTAAGCTTTTACATCAGGTGAATTGAACCCCTAAAAAAGTGATGGGAACTGGACGGAAAATCCACTGGGGTCTTAAACAAGCATCACAACACAAATTGTGGCAAGATTTGATCAAACACTTGTGTGATTCTTGCCGCAGAAGCCCCCATAGCCCATTGCTTTTGAGAGTTCAGTGTTACTAGGATTTTTCCTCATTTCCCATTAATTTCACACATCCGAAATATGTAGATCGTTTTCGTTTTTGAGGTGATTGCGTAAAGGCCGGACGGATTTTACTAGACGGATTCCTTAGTGTGGTACACATACAAGACCTAAAGTGCAGTACAGATAGATGATTCGGATAAGGCAATAACTGGGACTTGAGGACCTTGCAATAAGAGGTTTTCGAAGAAGATTCCAGTTTGTTTCTATTCATTTCATACGCTATTGTGCCTTGCGCTTTGATATGATGATTTTAGTGGTCTACTAGAAAGTATTTTGAGATAAAGTATTATGGGGGAAATGTAAAAGAACTTTATGATAAAAAAGGGAGTATTTTTTTATTACACACCTAGGTGTGATGAACAGCAGATCGAGGGTAAATCCCATAGTCACGAGGACCTGCTGTTCAGTGGTTGAAATCGGCAACCTAAGCCCCGGAACTTGGAGTGGCGAACCACATAAGGCCCCGATAGCTTAGGCGGGGTATTGAACCGGACGACAGCAGAGCTGCCTACCGCCAAAGTCGGGTGGTGGTGGCGGGGCTCGAACCTCGGACCACAGGGTCCAAAGCACGCCGGTGACAGCGACTGAACCACTGCGTATGAAGTAAAGTCCCTATTCAACACACTACACCGTTTATTGTTATCTTTTAGATCACTGTTGTAGATTCCACAAGAAGAGTGTGAAATAGAAGAGGTAACTTTTCCGATGGTTTATGAAATTAAACATTGAACGAGATTGCATGTACAATATTGATCTCAGGAGACAGTACAAAAAACAACAAATACAATACTTGAGTGTACAGTGAGTGCCATAAGAGATAGATCCACCTTCGGAATGCTGTGGTTGGTAGCTGACTGATTGAATAGTAAGTTGTAGTAATTTCAGGTGAATTCCATCATACAGCGTTTTCACGGACTTTATTTCTCACCTATTGGAACACTTATCACCAGTTAATTTTGCCATGAAAAGATTTGGATAATGTAATCCGGGGAAGATCGATCCACATATACTTGATTCCTCAGTTAATAGTAAAACAGCCGCAATGTCCAAGTACCTCAGTACCCTTTCGGATTAGTCGGTTGCATTCTACGATGATAGCAGCTAATAGCATTGGGATTTATAACTGGTTTTTCCACTTATTCATCTATTTAGAATAGAAAGTACACCCGAAAAAACTGGTTGCTGGTTAGTCGAAGAGCAATGGTTGTACGGGAAAATATCAAAGTTAGAAGTTAGAGCGCATACAGCATGAAATATTAATCAAATTTAGGCAGTATATTATTCTTTTAATGACTCTTGCCATCAATCCACGCAGAACAGTGAGTTTGACGTATCTGCATTGATGATGCAAACCGGCCACATGAAAACGGGTGCAGAAAGCAGGGCAGCTTTCTGGTTTAGCTTTTGGTTGCTCGTGATACTCGACAAAGGACACTGGATAGCTCTTTCGTCCTTATTGGGACTCGTCAGAAGTACGTTCATTTTCCTCGTATCCTACTAGGGTTCGAACTAAGATTTTCGGGTCGGGAGCTGAAATCCCTACTCCGGCGATAAGTGGTCGACGGTGACACCATGAACGAATGGCTCAATCGGTTTAGAATACCGTACATTGTTCAGCCCATTCGCACTGTTGATGAGTTGCAACCAGAACGGAATAGCTATTAAGGGCTCTTTATTCTTTCTTTTCCATTTTACTTCCTTTTATTGAATATTTAACGATGTAATTTTCAGGAAGGGGGAAGCGGCCAATCAAAGGACTGCCATTCAACACACAATGGGGAAAGTCAAGCAATGGTGGTGGGATTGAAACACAAGTACTTGGGGTACTAACGTAGAGACACTACCACAGGTTTCTGTTTCAAATTATTGCTTATAACTGGTAAGGAATTAAGGAAGTTCCTTGGAGTGGAAATCACGTCTTAGATCATTATCAGTGCTTGATGCCAATGATCAATAGAATATTCTTAGTCAAAGACGGTTTATTTGCTCTCTACACAACTAAATACATCATTACACATTTCTGATATTCAAGTTTCAAGTATGAAAGCGAATAACAGTTGGATACCTAACGAAACAGACTTAGGATATACTCTGACTAGAAACTGGAGGCTGAAAAAGAGTTCTGAACATAAATATTCTTAATCCTCCAAATGCTTTCTGATATTAATAGTATTATCTCGCAAGCATCATGATGAAACTAGTTCGGTTTTGTAATCAAAGGAACTTTTTATTTTCCGCCTACATCTTCCCATTTTTTTATATCTTAACGTGACAGACGCAGAAACAAGTAAAAATTATAGCCACGAATGCCCCCTACCACTGGAATGTGAGAACCAGTTATCTCGGATCCGATAATTTGAGTGATGAACCGTGTAAAAATACCATAACACGATAACAGCACAATCGTGTGCCATCGAAATCGGATTGCGCTGGCAATACTCGAACCTCTCCGGCTCTGGAATCCTTGAATCACACCATAAACAACAAACAAAAGCGTTCCTCAATGGCCATTCAGGATATAAGGTTTAAATAGATAGCCGTGAAAGTGGCTCACCGTAATAGGAAAGATCGATGGAGTCGGCGCTACATTTGAAAAACATCGCAATTGATTCACTGGCACTCAAAGCTTTGTTTATCAGACGTTGCCCATAATCTTTTGCCTGTGTCGTAACGCTATCTTTGAATTCATCCGCGGATGAGCGAAACAGATCCGTTGCATTTCTTCCAACTTCTGTTCCCCGAGCCTGACTCTGGTCGACCACAGTATCCACCCGGTCTGCTAATGCTTGTCCGGCCCGTGTTGGATCATAATTATCCGGATGGTGTTCACGTGTGATATCCTGCAGGTCGTCCGCATCAGCCGCAACCTTAGACCAGTTGTTAATCCCTTCGGGTGTATTCTCGCCGTAGATGGATGAAGTGTCCGGGGGTTCACCCGGAAGTTGATAATCCACTGGATCTCCGGGCTGTTGTAGTTGTATTTGTGGAGACTGTTTCAGAAAACGATGTGCCGAATTCACCGATCGGACAACTTGCGAGTGTGCAGACATGGTCGGATCAAATGGTATGGCTCTTGTCTGTCTGATCATACCGGGTAAATCAAGCGAGGCCAGTCGCAAACGAGTGGCACCCTCGTTACGGTACCATAAGAATGCGATACTCATCACTGGATAGCTCATCAGACAAGCCAGCGCGGACCAGATCACAATCGCCAGAACGAGAAGCACAATCAGCTATTCATAGGTGGATTGGGGGTTGAGAGAAACAAAGAAAACAAACCAACAGTGAAAATAATTCCAGTGAACCGGGCCGAAGTCTCAGCAAAAATGGTTTATGCAATAAAAGTCTTCATTATTGAATGTGGTAGTTTAATTTTATTAGCAGCCTCAAGCTGGCCGGTGTCCGTGTCAAAATAATAAAGCAATATAAATAAATGTGCACAATAAATGTAAAATAGGAAATTTCAATGAGATATTCAAATAAAACGTTTATGGACTCGGGCTTACCAGACTTATGGGGAAAGCTGTCCAAACAACAGATACATCACAACCGTCACGCCAAATTTAGATGTAAGATGAAGTGACCTACTGTATTCGAACAACTAGGCTCTCCAAATAAAAATGAATGTGATCAAAAGTGAAATTCTGAGGTTGCTCTGAGTTACATGGTGGCAAACGACAAGCAGAAGCAGTGAAAACGTGTTGCTATTACCACAAACGAAAATTCCAAGATTTATTGCTTGGTTGCAAGAAACAGTATTTCCGGCCAGCAATAGTCAACAATCAATTCAATGAAAGTGTACATGAAAGAAGGCATTGTTAGAATACTGCAAGAACATTTAATCGCTCCGTTAGTTATAGTAATATGGATGTTTTACTTCCAACTATTTGATAAGAGGTATACCAAATTAATCTATGAAGGGACTGAGTTCAATTGAAGATTGAAAATCAATGAAGGAAACGATGGCGGGTTATTAGCAACTACGGCGGTGGGTAGCACGAAGACAGCTACAATTTCTTCCTGGTATGATCGAAATCAGGAATTAATTCTTAATTCTGAAATGTATGGTGCAAATGATCATAAAGCTCCCATGTGAGCACAAATTTTTCCACTGGCTCAAAAATATTGCATGTTATTAAAAGAGCTTTTACAGTGACCGCTTTTTCGTCGAAGTCAATTGATTCCGGGCACTTTTCAATCCACAGTTTGTTGTAATTGGAACCGATCAAGGGCACTATCGTAATTCCAAAAACGTTTTAAGCTCAGCTTCCTCCCTACAGCCTCCTTTTTCTTCTCTTGTGCGTGCCCAGGAAACACCACGCTCTATTCAAGCCGTCGAGGTAATTGTAAAATTGTTTTTTTTTCATAAAACGTGTAATGCTTATTGGTTTAAAATTGGTATAACTTTTGCCAGTGCATGTTGTTCTGATGAACATGGATTTTAATCGGAGGTAGGTAGACTTAAGCACCAGACAGCAGACTTTTTATTTATTTTTCGATGCATACAATATAGAGGGTTTAAGGATTGTTCTTGTAAAATGTGGAACCTTACTTTTGCAATCACTATTCATGTGGGAATGATTTGACCGAATGCCACTTACTTGCCTCCAGGTCACCAACATAATGACGGAGACTGAGTCAGTTGATGAAGCACAATTGGGTATTAAGATTTACGACCAGTGGTAGAGCAAAATGCCCATTCGAACGGACTGCTTGCACCTACAAGCTAAGTGATCATACCCCAACGTTAAAAATGTGAGTGCTACAAAATTAGGCTGTCACGAGGTGTTTTGACGTTTTCACTTAGTACATAGCCCAACAAAAGCCACAAAACAATCATAGATATGCCGGAATCACTTTTAGTTTACCCTTAGCTTTGATCACATTCAAGCTCTGTTCACTTAATGCACCTACTAGGGAAGGGCTGCAGTTGATTGCGCTGTCAATTATGCAAACTGACAACGTAAAGCCTTGACGGTTGGCCCACGAAGCTTGCTGAAACAGCAGGTCTCGCATGTACACACCAATACACGCCAATTGGAGGTTGATAAGTAATGTTTGATTGTAAAATGCAAACGTTTAAGCATTTTACGCTGACTTACAACATTTCGGTATACTACAAGTGATATTGCGTCATTCGTCAACCTTTGTCAGAAGATGGATAAATGTCATATCTTTTCCAAGGAGGGCACAATATAGACTTGCGACAAGAGGTGCTAGATTTGATTAAGAAAGAGCCTAGATACTAAAAATTAGACTGTAATTCCGGGGCCATTCCTGCAGTTTGCGTTGTTTTTCGAGGGTGTCAGAACTGAGGGTAGTTTAACCATAGAACCCATACACCTCGTTGCGCATGCAACACGATTACTATTCTCTTTGATTGCTTTTTAAAAGTGTAACTACCCCTACTTTCACTTCAACCAACCAGTTCTATTGCAATTTACCACTAGTCAACAAATTCCAGCTATCGGACGTCAAACTCACTACTGAGAACAAGCTAATAGAACTTCCATGTCTCATATTTGAGGTCATCTCCATGTGCACACAAATTCTACCAGTCCCGGAATCCACCAAATATGTATGTTAGGACTGACTTTAGTTTGTAATCAATTCAAATTCGAAGCAATCTATACGGAACATTGGAATCACGTATGCGGTGTTGTATAACGGACATGCTTGACCTTGGTTATACCTACACAAACAGTAAGCATTTGGTCATTTTCCCCAAACTAGTTGTTTTCAATACACGAACATGACAACCTAACAGTAGTTTTTGACATGATGCTCTAATAAACTAAAAAACACGCATCAAACTTAACATAAATTCTTGTGGCCTCATTCACAAAGAAACTCTGAGTGCATCGTGAACTGAAACCAATAACATCCATAGCACATTTATGTGCGTTACCTGGGAAATTCACTTAACAAACTTGTTCCCCGTGATTACGAAAAAATCCTTTAGAGGCTCCTGTAAGCAGCTGATAGCAGATAATTCCATCAGCCTCTGTCTATCAGTGGACTCAGTTGACGGTGTTATAAATCTAATCAATGGAATGATTCTGTAAAAGCATATTAGACTAGTCTGAAATTCTCTGGCGATCATTTGCACTAGTGAATTCGGAGCAGCGTAATTACATACGAACTCAAATGGTCGTTTGCCAGATAAAAGTCTTATGCTGAGATCGTGAAAAGCTCATTATCCCAGGTAGGGCTCGAACCCACGCATGGATGCTACCAGTTTCAGTTTCCGTTTTTACAACCATTAACCATGAACTTTCGTGTGCCGGTTTTGGTTGCTGTCTTTTGGTTGCCCATTTGGATAAAAGAGCGAAATGAAGATTGGAATGTCGAAGCAAATTCAAGCTGAAGATGGGGAATACATATAGAGTGGTGTTAGGAAAATAACGAAAGAATGCATGAGCGCCACTGTTTGCGACATCCAGTCATATCACTCAGTGTAGCTAACCATCGGTGACCATCATCCCGGGGTCCCCAGCCAGGGAGCCTAACGGGGCCTATATGACCTAGTCTCCTGGTTAGGGTTTTCATACCCTCATGCCAGGTCTTA